CCCCCAAAACCCCAAAACCCCATAAGACTCAAATATGTAAAGAGAATTTTATATTGTTGTTAAAATAGAAGAAAAAAACGTTAAAATAAATCTATCTAATGCATCACATAGTTTGACCTCTTGTCTGCGAAAATATTAACTTATATAGCTCATGTAAGCTCTTCATGGAATGCTTCTCACTAATATGAGGGCTTAGAAGCAGGTTTTTGACTGGCTTTCCCGATAATCTTTGAACTATTCATTCTTGAGGTGTTCATTTGACTTCTGTTCATAGCTGTTGATGGTCTGGTGGCATATTGCTTCTCGAGCTTCTGTCTATCAATATTATGCTGATTTTCAAGTTCCTTCTTAACATTTTGATATCTCTGAAGTAGCCTATGTTTACAATTATGAATAATAATTTAACTTACTTATTGTGTTCAAATTCTCTTTATTTTAGGCGTTCGTTCATTGCACCCTCGATCTTCTTTCTCAAGGCATTCATTTCATTTTGTTGTTTTTAAATTAATTTAGCCTCTGCAGCAACTATCTTCTTGTGTCTAGCTTGCACTGCTTTCTCTCTTTCATCCTCTTCTAATTGCTAGGCCTTAACTTAAACCTAATGAGCCTCAGCATATCTAAAGTATATAAAAGCACACTGATGATTACGATTTTTGTCTGGCAAGGTTTTATTCGATTTGTCTGAGGTTAAGTAGCTCAGCACTTTGTTTGAAAGTAAGTGGAAGCTTTTACTCAAGAACTTATCTATTCTCCTCAAGCTCTCTAACATGCTTTTCCTCTAAGGCTTGAATAGCTTGCTAATCTTGAGCTTCAATTTGGGCTAGAGTATCATCCCAGTTTTTATTGAACTCTTAGTACTCCATAATATGTGCTTGCTCAACCTCCTCTCTCTCTTTTGTTTAGTTGAATATGAGCTCCTCACGTCTTCTCTAGAATTCTTGGTGTTTCAACTCTTCAATTCTATTCTTAGCCATCTCAGCCTCTAAAATAAGGATTATGAGGGTCAAATTATCAAAGAGTAGTCAATGATATTTAATTAGCATTTGAGTCATAAAATAATGACTGTTAAGAATATTTCTAATCAGCTTACATACCTACATATTTCCCTTCTTGTTCGCATTGCTTTCTGTGCTCCTCAAGTACAGCACTAATTAAATATAAACTTCAAAAATCTTACATGAAATCGGCAATATTCTCTTGATTTGGTTCCTATTGATCTTAAGATTTCTCTTTGCCAGCGCTTTCTTGGCCTTTCTTGTTCATTTTCTAAATCTTTTCTTATTTATATTAATTTCAAAAATTTTAGAGGATATATGATCAGAGGGGTTTTGGGGTTTTGGGGTTTTGGGGTTTTGGGG